GTGAAGCTCCTCGTAATCTTCTTTCACCTCAGGGAACATCATCATAGCCAAATGCCTCCTAGACTCAAAATCAGTCACATCCTTGTTCCGAAGAAGCCACTGATGATCTTCAGTTCTTTTTGCATATCTAACAATCAGCACACACAGGGAAGCCTTTCTAAGTCTCAAAACTGTCCAAAACTTTTCCTCAGCACCCTTATAGAGTTTAGCAATGTTGTTCAACTCCTTCAAAATAGCCAAATATTGAGACCAGCCTGTATGATTCAACTCACCCTCTCCATTCATTTTCAAATGTGAAGAATCCTGCATTTTACCAAGACATTTCTCCATAATATTCAGCAAATCAAAAAATATCACATGAAGATGCTCAATCTCCTTCGCATACAATGGATAATTAAATGCCCTCTTGTTCAACGGCACCGAAACCGGAACCCTACATGCCCCCTGCTCTGATATCATACTATGCAATGGTACCAAAAACGCTGAAAAATCCTTCACATCAACTACTGATGGCCCCACACTCCCCATCAAATCTTTAAACAACTTACTCCCCAGCTCACTAACAAACGGAAAAATCTCCTGCATAACAACAGCTCCCTTCCCCTCCTCCCCTCCTCGATACCTCCACCCACATGCACCCCCACCATTCTCCAACAAGGAACCAAGACAACTCCTACACACAATATACAATGGATCATCACTCCCAACCTTCCTCAACAAATTGCAAAACTCCATCACAATCGGAACACACTGCAAATGCAAATTCTTTGGCAACGAATTCCTACATGAATTCAAAAAATGCTTAATCGCACCCTCCGCGCACTCCTTATTCCCTTTAACACTCGAAACATAGAGAGTGACCAGCGCAGCTGGCGCACTATTCGATAAAAACACATTCAAATGTCCTAAAGCATCCTCATTATCATCCTTCGGTGTCAAGATAAAGAACTGATGCATCAACTCTTTTATCTGCTTTGAAACATATTGATGAAAACCACACGGCAAAATAGACTTACAAATTCGACAAATGTAGGAAACCATATCATTGATCAATTGACAAGTACGGGGATGCCTAGTGCTACGCATTCGGCCACCTAAATGAAGAATCGAATCCTTCTCGATAGAGTAATCGGAGAGTTTGTTTTCGTATTGCAATTGCTTACCCTCGTAGATTAGTCGTTGCTCGATCACAGGAATTCCGGTCATCTCGCGAATCCGTTCATGGAGTGATTTGACGGAATCAGTCAAATTCGCAGTGATCACAATGTGAGTGCCGTCGGAGATCATTCTGATGAAGAATTGGAGCCTCGATTGAGACCGACGGAGAGGGGAGGGAGTGGAGGGGAAATCGTTGGGTGATGATGAGGTGGGGGCGGAGGCGTCGGAGACACGTGTGGGGAGCTGATTGGTGGAGGAGATGGAGGGAGGTTGTTGCAGGTTATGGCCGGTGGATGATTCGGTGTTGTCTTTACGCATCCTGATGGAGATTAAGTCAGAGAAAATGGCGTCGTGGTCATCGACATCGTCTAGTTTGCGTTTGGAGGAGCCGCGGTGATCAAAGGTGGAGGCGCGCTGTTGAGGGAGGGAATCAACGGCGGGAGATTGGGGAAGTGACATTTGATGAACGGTGGTGACTGTGTTCTCCCCGACCTGGAAGTTTTTAAGGAAGGGGAGAAGGCATGAGATCGTTGTCGTATAGAGGATGAGACGGCGTGGTTTAGATATACGGAGAGAGTAAACGGCGAGCGAAGGATTGAACGGAAATTGTGTCGTCCCTGGCTGGGTGGGTTTTTTTCTGTGCTTTTTTTTTACCAGCCGTC